TGGAAGAAGCGAAAGAACTTAACGATAAAGTTAAACCGCGATAACCAGCATGACAAAGGATAATGTATAACATGCGCAAGGACATTGCCGATTAGCCATAGCCGCCAGTTGAGGTGTAAGAAATAAACGGGGAAAGAGCGTCGAGGAAGAGACAAAGAATGGGGAGGCGAAAGAAATGCTTACGATAGCATGTAAAATTAAATTTTATTGTAATGCCCCTCAGAGCCAGCGGACAAATGTGTTTTTCCAATTGGGGACTTTCTTCTTCTTTACAAAAAGTGCCCACATTGTTTTGTTTTCGTGTTTTTCTCTCAAAGCGAGGTGGCCAATATATATGGGCGGGGCTAGTGGGGGTTGCAAGGCCTAGTCAGGGGATGAGAAATTCAAGTTTTCTATGAATTGCATTTTTTCTAACAGTTGGCTGAGCAAATTAGTTTAGTGCTGGTTACGAGGTCTTTGTTTGATGCGAAGCTACCACAAAGGTCCCTGCGGAGGTATTGAATAAGTCGCTATGGAGACTATATGTTTGATGGTGTAGGAAATACAAAACCGTCACATAAAATCTATTACATCAATTATAATTAAATATATTAAGCAAGAGCCATGGTTTGGAGTACGAATACGAAATCCGAGCGATGTTATATGAGTAGGTTCTTAAGAGTTGAAATGAAATTAATATTCTTTCAGCTCCTATTTAGAATCGTTGAAAAATTAAATAGGGAACAGATTTGATAATTGGTTTGGCTTTTGACAAATGCTTGTTATTAATTTATCCATAAGATTTAATAAACCTCTTTATATTTGCTTTATTTTTAACTAAATTATTCTCCTTGATATTCTCAACAGAAAGTGCGGAGCAAATGATTTAAGTTAGCAGATAAATACGAACGTTTTACACAAATGGAACGACTTTCTCTTTGTGAGTAGCGGAACACCACAAACTAATTCCGCACAAATCGATTTGGCTGTCGAAGTTGCTTTGCACCCATTTTTCTAATCTGAAACTTTCACTAATTGCACTTTGTTAGCCAAACATTAGAAACATGATGCAGGCCACTCAACATTAATTAGCCTCAATTCGAACTTTAACTCATTAATGAGGCTGGCAAACAAACTCTGCGCCTGGGCATACCTGGACTCCCAGGGCTCAGTACATGTCGTTGACTGTGGCCAATCGCAGATGCGTCTTATTCACTGGCTCTTTTTGCTGCCCAGTCTCGCCTGACGTACGTGTCAAATTAGCGACGTTTTAACAAGCTCAGCGCGTCCGTAAGTCGTCAGTTTGTCCCTGTTCGGGCGCTGCATGATAGCAGGCGTGTCCTTCGTCCGGCTCTGCCGGCAAATCAATCACGTGAAAGTGGCTAGCGCAAAAGTTTGAGAAACTACGTCAAATTGCCTACTTTTGTAACCGTCGACAACGGTCGCGCTGTTGACTTTAGCCGTTCGTCCTCAGCATGTCCTAAGCATGTCCTGTAGTTTTTGGGCGCTGCCGTTGTGTGGCACGCTGATTGCTTTTTCATTGCATTTGTCAGGCAAGCCGTGTCCGCTGTTTCCTTGTCCCTGTCGACAGCAAAGTTTTCTTTTGCTACCTGTGCACCGTTTTCCAGCTCAATGGCTGCAGGATGCTGTGGCGGTAGCGTGCGGCGGGAATGAAGGTAGAAAACATATCGTCAGCAATTAAGCGCGCATTCAAACGTCTGTCTCGGATTTGGGGTTATTTTTTTCGATTTGCTGCCAACGGATGCTTAAAATCAAAACGCGATTTATCAGTTTTCATGTTTTCTTATTTCCCACCGCTTCATTTGCCCGCTTGGGGACCTGCAGTCCTTTTTTTTCACTGGGTTTGAGGGCTTAAAATTTTGCAATTTTCTTGGTTTTTATTTCAAGCGCCATTTATCAAAGCTCTGCAGCTGTTTGCTAGTTTATGACAGCTAATCCTAGCATCTACTTTATCTTATAGATATTGCCTTCAAATTTATCTACACACATGCACACACGCATACCTAGTAGATTTGGGTAGGCTTCAATCGTATATGCAGACTGTTGCCAGCTCGATTTGCCATTTGGCAGTTTCGTAAACGTTTTACAAATTGATTTATGTGCTTAACATGTTGCCATGTTTGTAACCCCCAACCAGCCCCGCCAAACGTCTCTCACAATTAGATTTCGCTGCAAAATCAACGGCAAAAGTTTTCGACAAGCCTCACAAAAAGACAGTAAGAGAGGGAGGGAGGCTATACAGGAGAGAGAGAGAGAGTGAGAGAGAGAGAGAACGCTAGAGGAGAGGGATGAGATTGGCTGGACGGCCTGGCACATCAATCATCGATAAATGTCGATATGTCGGCCCTTGAGGCACGGCTGGCTGTTGTTTTTGCCTTCACTTCTTGGCCTCTTTGGGCGCTTTTATTTTTATTAATAAAGCATTTGTTTTCCCATAATGAGCAGCGACAGCCGCCTGTCAGGATGCTTTTCGCATTTCGCTTTGCCTTTTCGCCCCGTTTTCTTGCTAACACATAAAAATTTCACCGTAGACGAAAAATCTCTCCCCAGGGTCAGCTTGGGCTGTGGGCGTTACAGTGCCTGCGGCGGCATTCGCATAAAAAAGTGGCAACACTTTGTCAAGTTGTTATTACCAATAACATTTTTTCTCTTTGTTTTTGCGCTTTGCTTCTTTTGCTATCGCCGTTCGCCTTTGTTGTTGCAGTTTCCGCTTTGTGCGGCTTCTGGCAGTCATTTTGTGTTTGTCTTGATTGATGAGCGCGAATTTTACGCATTGTGGAGTCTGTGCGGTGGGAGGGCTCTCCTATTGATTGGCTTATTCCCATGGATGCAAAGTGGGCAGCGAAAGTGATCTGCAGTTTCGTGTCATTACGAGCGAGACTTTACGAGCTGGATTGCACAATTGTGCAAATAAAATAAAGAAACTAAAGTTGCCTTTCGAAGCTTAAGAATTAAAAACTATGATAAATCTATATTTTGGCTAATTGTTCGCTTTAGATAACCGGTTAGAATCCACCTTACGCCGGTAACGCAGTTTCACAAGTAATTACCGATTCCAAACATAAACCAAACCATATTATTTAGAGTACGTGCTCGGCTCAGGAAATTTTTATTTTTTATTAAAAAATAAGTGTCCTGTATTTTTCCCGTCTGTTCAAAAATGTTTAAACAAATTTAAATGTTTACAAAAATGTAAATATGAACATTATCGACTTTGAATATTCTAAAATATTCTCGGAATTGATCCAAACTTCTGCCAATATGTATAAGATACAATATTTTTCAGAAATTTTATTCTTAGAAGGAAGCCAAATGAGAATTGATTCACATATCCTTTGTAGATAGATACATTATATATGTAAATTTGGCAAGGTTCAAGAAAAAAACCCAGGTCATAACCCGAAATTTAAGGCGAGGAGTTCGATCGATCCGTAACTTTTTTTGTAGCCTTGATGGTATTTTGCTTTAATCCAACATATGCACTTGAATAATTTTAGAGATATATTATATAATACAAAAAGATCAAGTAGAATTTCAGAACAGTTGGAAACTCTATCTACAGACATATACATATCGCTTATCACCTCTAATTGAAAATTATTCCATCAAGCAAAATCTACAAAATTGGATATAAGAACTGTAAGGCACATCCTCGAACTCTTAATTAGATAACGTTTAAGATTTACGAATTTAAGCAATAAATATAGTTCTAATTTATGTTGATTGTACTTGGATTCGCTCTCAATGAAGCTGATCAAAAATCAAATTGGAATAACTTCGATGCGGAAAACAGCTTTTTAAAATAAATGAAATAAATAACAAAGGTATTGAATTATCTTTCTAAAATAAATATTAATTTACATGTGCGTATAAATATAACACGAACCTTACCGATAACAAGTTTTTGTCTCCAGCTATCCATAAATACCATATGTTTGCATTTATTTAATAAAAAATTAGGTATAACATTGTCTAAGACCTAGCATGTATTATCGAGCTGACCAAAGTTAAGATATCTAAAACGATGACCCACTAGTATGCATATCAGGTGTATAAGCTGTATTTTATATAATTATTGTAGTTATTTGTTCAAGTTAGTGAATTAATATGCTTATCCCAACCAAATATTTATATTTCATGTGTAAAATATTTTACTTTAATTTTATTTTTAAAAATCTATTGGGTTGTGTTAGGATTGTCTAGAAAATATGTGACTCGGTCGCAAAATGACTTATAGCCTAAATATACACTTGCACTTTTTCAGCTAATCAAATTTGATTTTCGCTTAGCGGCAAACATAAATAAATAGACAAAAAAGTTGTTGTCCGTTTGCTTTTAGGCAACAACGCGACATCGTTTGCTAACAAAGTGGCGGCTGTTGGTGGCATAAATTCAATAAAAATAAAAATATTTACAAGCATTAACACGCGTTCAGCGCGTAAAATGTGCCTCAAACTGAGAGCTCGCAGCTCAAACACAAATCTTGAGCCACAAAACGGGAAAATATTGACAGCAAAATGGCGCGTAAGCATAAATAGTGTGTCGGTGTGTGTGTGTAATGGCTATGAGGGGAAAATGGAGGGGGATGGGAGCTGACAGTCTCTGCACAGACAGAGGGTTGACAGAGTCGCTCAGCCACACACCCACTCAATGCCAATGCCAATGAAATTTGCCACATTTTGCATATGGAGGGTAGCGAAACGCCTCAAAGTATGCAGCAGCAACAGGAGCAGTAAGGGCAGCAGGGGCAACATCATCAGAGTGGGGGACAGACATGGATAAAGGAATGAGGACAGAAATGTTGATGATGGGACGCAGCATGTGCGAGTGTCGTTAAAGCCACGCAGCAAATTTTTGGCAATTTTTCGTAATTTTTTTTTTTTTCGGTTTTATTATATGAGAACTAATGGGGAAAATATTATCACGCGCCATTTTGAAGGCAATTTCACGCATACGAGCGCTAATTTATTTGGAGTACTCGTAATGGTGGTCGTACTTACAGCGCACGCTGAGGTAATAGCCAATCGAGGAGTATTGAAAGTTGAGATGCCGTGATGTGCACTTATACCAGCCGGAATGCTCCCGTCTAATGGATGTAAAGTTGAGGAAGCCGTCGCCCGTTTGCGGCACCTGTAAATTGCAAAAGAGAAAGAGAAATGGTTGAGATAGGGGCGAAAAATTGAGACAGCTTTGGCTTGGAGACGGGCATGGAAATGAGTTTCGGTCTTATGCGTAAACAATTTTTGGTAATTAAGGCAAGGCAAATAGTTAGTCCAAGAACTTTTTACGCGACAACTGCACGAAAATCCATTTAAAACTTGCTCCTTGCCCAAAAATCACAAAAGCTCTCACAAAATCCAGAGCCAGAGTCAGAGCAGAGCCTACGTATGCATAAGTTTTATAAGACTTACCGGCGTGTCACCGTCGTCCTTCTGCCAGCGCGGCGTGCTCGGAGGATTCGAGTCGACATCGCACTTGAGGCTAACTTCGATGCCCTCGCGCAGCGGATAACCAAAGCCAGGTGTGCGCGAGATGGCAAATGAGGGCGTATCTGCAAAGAGGGAGAGAGGTAAAACAAGGGTTATAAGAATGGATATAACACACAGATACGATGAGATTTTCGGTTAGTTATTTTCCTGTCTACTGTCTGCCGTCTGCAGTCGCTTGGCGACTGTCGACTGGCGACTGTGGCAACATCTACAAAATAGTTTTTTAATTAAAAAATTACGACACAAAAATAAACGGCAGCAGAAAGAAACTTTTATAATTAAACTAAATGCAAATGTGTGTACGCTCTCCTATTTTTTTGATGCTCTTCAACAGCACCCGCAAAGCTAACGGACTTTGTTTGACTCTGGCAAAAACATCTTGGCAAATTCCATGCTTAACAAAATATCCAGATGACAATCACTAAGAAAACTCATTTGAAAATTAAATAAAACTCTTGAAATGTTTTATATATTAACTTTGTATCTTCTTGTTGTTGGTTTTTGTTTATATCGAAAATCGAGAAATTTTAAAAACTTTTCTGGCTCAAAAAATATTAAAGTTAATTAATTGTCGATGAAGAAGGTTTGTGTTTAAATAATTTTATATAAACACTTTTCTATTTTCGTTTGACCAAATATTACTCATTTTTGAATGTGTGTCTAAGAATTTAAGATAAAAATGTAGAGTTTGTATTCGAGCATTGAAATGATTTTACTGACAAGGCTTTATCGAATGTTTATTTTATAAGCTTACTTGTTAGTTGAATTTGAAAGTAAATTGTATGCATTCATTTAAATATTCATGGGTCATTTTATTTCTTATGCCAGTTGCGAGTATTCAACATCTTTTACGAAATTGATCTGCCATTAAATGTAACTACATTTGGGTGCCAATCAAAAATCCATTGAATGAATGTCAAAAAGCTATCGACAAAATGCAAATCTCAATGTAAACGTGAATGCAAATGTGAACGTAAATAATATCAATGGTTGGCAAAGTGACACCCCCATATATACGTTTGTATATATTTGCGGATGTACATATATACCCTACATATGTATCTAGTTGCAGTCAATGCATATTCATAGGCATAAATCAAATGTTTTTTAATTAGTGTAAGCCCTTGGAGCCTGTAGATTCCCAAAAAAAAAAAATATATATATATATATATTTTTCAATATGCTACATAATCTGTATAGAATGATATCAGTCCTTTCAATTTTTCGCAGTTTCTCCCTGCCCTTCTCTAACACACACTCTCTCTCTCTCCCTCTCTCTCTTTTTCGCCATGCGAGTCTTTTTTGGGCTTTTGCAACTAATACAATTTGATTATGCAGGGCAAATGAAATTTGTTTGTCGGTTGTTTGCCAAACTATTCAATAGACATTCGTCTGAGTTTGCCTGTAGTATGTGTGTCTGTGCTTGTGTGTACGTGTGTGTGTGTGTGTGTGTGTGTGTGTGTGTGTGTGTGTGTGTGTGTGTGTGTGTGTGTGTGTGTGTGTGTGTGTGTGTGTGTGTGCGAGTGTGTGTGTGTGTGCGAGTGTGTGTGTGTGGCTGTGGGCGTAACATGCATACAGATGGCAGTTGTCAGACATCATACATATATGTATATGAAAGGACGTCAGTCTGTGGACAGTCAACGACGGCCGTTTGCGTTTTATGCGGCTAACCGAGTAGACGAGCGGGCGTGGGCCACAGGTCCCTGTCTGGCTGTTCGTCGTACCGGGGCTTCGTCTATCAATTTGTTTGGGGCAAGAATCGAAGCCGCAAACTGAAAAAATAAATGCAAAAATTGTTGTACCGTCTAACTATGCACAACAGACAGTTCTGCCAAACACTTTCTGCCCAATTACGGAAAAAATCAACAATTTTGAATTTCGTAACAAGCAAAACTGTGCTTGTCTAACCGTGCTGAACTGAAAGTTCTGAAAAACACTTTCTGCCTTATTTCGTCAAAGAATTTAATGGGAATCTTTAAAATATCTTCTACTATTGAAATCTAGCATTTCAAACAGGTGATTTACATTTTTGGAATCCCATTTCATAAAATGTGTTTTAATGTTGTATTTAATTTGTTACATTGTTTTTAAATTGTGAAAACATTTAAGGCTCGTTCCAGCTGGCTGTGCGATTGATGTCCTTGATTTGCCTGTCAACTGTCTGCAAAAAAATGTAAAATTAAAAGCAACAACAACAACAACAACGACAACTACAAACACACAATCTTCAACTGTCTGAGCAAGTGCTTTCATGTGTGTGCATTTTAATTTATACAACCGTAACAAACAATAACAATAGGGTTGGGGAGAGGTTATTCGGAAATAGCAGGAACTGTTCTCAGTTGTTCTTTGTTGTAAAACGTTGCGGTTGGGCTGCTTCTGCTGTTGTTGCTGTTGTTATTGTTATAGGCCTTTTGCTGTTGTTATTGCGGTTTTTGCAATTTTCATGCCTGGCCAAAGCTCGCACACCCACACACGCACACACATACGCACGCACATATCCATCGAGTGTAGGCAGATTCCGCATGCGACATTCCCGTACCCGAAGTTAGTCATGCAAATCCCGCACGGCTTTTCTATATTTTCCAATCATTTTCATGGGCTCTCTCTCGATGTCTCCCTCTCTCTGTCTCTCTAGTTATTTTTCTCTATGGCTACCTTGGCATTTGTCATGGCATTATGCGGCTTGACGGGCATTAATAAAGCAAATAACTATGGCACTTTGTTCTATGCTGATCCCGGCCAGTAACGGCTACCAATTTCAGCACGTGTTTGCGGCTTTGTTACTGCCAATTAGTGCTAGTCCTTCTAATTGCTCCTGTGGACGCCGCCATTGATTTTGATTTGCAGCCAGTGTCGATGATTGCGAAACCTTTGTTTCGATGTTTGTTCGCCCAAAGTCATGTAGATGCTGATAGATGGCGGCATCTTTTGCATTGATTTCTTAAGGTTTAAGCGAGCTGCTTTGATCAATCAAACGGATTATACGTATTCGGACAGTTTTGGCTAAAAGTGTCTTGTATTTTGTTTTCAATTGATGTTTCACACTTTTAAAAAAGTAGATAACATGACCTTATTGAACCATCGCTGAAAGCGATAATAGAGATTATACGCATTTCATTTTGTTTTCTTCTTAAACTGTTTGTTTTTCTATATAATGTAAACTTAGTTTTGTTCTTTACAAAATAAACTTTCTGTAATTTATAGTCAATTATAATTTTCTTGACCTGGCATGTTCAATATAGAAATTAACATTTTGTATGAGTATGTATTTATTCAGAAATAATCCCGTCGGACTTTCAAGCTCCAATCAATTTGTTTAGAAATTGTTTTCTGATCGATGTTCGTTTTCATAATTTGTAATGTAATCCTTTGACTGCCCAATGGCGGTTAATTAAAAACTTTATCAAAGCTGTTAGTTGCTCTTGATTTCTTTGTTGTAACTGCCGTGGTTATTACATCGTGGCACAGTGCCTGTTGCTGTTCCTCTTGACATATTCCCTTCCTATAGAGCAGCTGCCCTACGTTAACCCACTTCCATTACTATTTTTTATATATTTTTTTCTGCTGCATTTTCATTCAAATAATTTCACCTTTGCTTTCTTTTATTTCTGCAGCTGCATAATAATTTCTGTGCCTTTGTTTTACTTTGCCCATCGCCGACCTCTGACTCCTCATTGTGCGCCACTGCCTCTGCCCCCGTCTCGTGGCTCTGTTGCAACCGGCATAGCATCCTTTAGCCACGCCCACCAGGCCGTTGCGTGCCTCATGGCGTGTGTTAACTTTAGCAATTTAACTTTTTAATCAACATTTGCTTTTTGGTTTTCACTTTTACTTGCCGCACTCGCACCAGCTGCCCCTCCTGACAACACTCTCGCTATCGCCGGCTGTGTTAATTAAACAAGGTGCGATTTTCGTCGTGTTTGGCTTTTATTAAAACTTTTTTAACATTTAAATATGATGCCAAATGAGTAAATGACTTACTGACTGACTGACTAACTGACTAATTACGCACTTACACACACATGTGCAATCCACTCAACAAATATAGTTTTTATTGAAGGAGAAACCTTTCGATTTTTCATATTTATTTTTCCTGAATATATATTGGATGTACCTTTGACTGTTTATTAATAAATACATTTAAATAAAGCTCTTTTTCCAACAAATCACAAACTGAAGCAACAGGAATTCAAAAGCTAACTATCCACATCTTATTAATATTATTCAATGATGATATAATGATAACTGCATCAATTTCATATGTAATAAGCTTGCCAAGGTGTTCTTAAACCAAATACTTTATTAGCACTCAGTTTTATACATTTTTGTTAGCTGCACTCTAAACGTGAAAATAGGTTTTCATTCACAGATTTAAGTTATCTAAGAAAAACATAAGATTTAAGAGCCTTGCTAAAAGTAGTAAATTTCAACTTACACTGCACATCGAGGAGTAGGGAGGCATTCTGTCTTATCTTCAGCGTGGGATGTTCCATGACACATAAAATCCTCGCATTATGATGCGCCCTGTAGACGGCGGGCAGACGGGCTTCGCTCTTTGCACCGCTGTTGATTTTGTAGCCGTTCTTATCCTGCCGAAAGGGAGAGAAAAAGAGAGAGAAAGAAGTTGAGAGTGGAAAGTGGTTGATAAAAATTCCATTGCAATTTAAGGCTTAGGCCGGGACAAATTGGGCGAAATGACAAGGCAGTCAGGCCGGCCAATTAGTCTGGGCCTGTTATCAGCGCGACATCATTAATTTAAATTAAAGCGCAAGGACAAGGGCAAGGGCAATGGCATTGGCTACACCGACGCTGCCACCAGCAGCAACACCCCCGCGCCCCTTGACATGCAAATTTGTTGGCACAGTTTTCAATCAATCATCGGGCGCAGCGAGGCTGTAGTTGGGGGCCAAGCAGACCAAACACGCAAATTTGTGGCATTTAGGGTCTACGACAAGCAAACAAGCACACACACACAAAATGTACACGTACAATAAACACTCATGTCGACATCTTCGATGTGTTTGACAGGTGGCTGCGGGTGGCGGGTGGCCGATGGTTTGGGCGGTTGGGCGGTTTATGCAACGCTTGACCAAAATGTCTGCTTTTCATTATGCTTGAGTGCAAGACAAACAAATTTGACGCAACCGCAGCCATTTGTCCGTCCGCCGAGCCCCGGAGATGCGTTGTTTAAGCGTTAGCCAGAAAAGCCGCCGTTATCCACACTTAATGTGTTTGCACTGTGTCTCTCTGTTCCCCTTTATATGAGCTCCCATGTCTGCATAGCTTGCGGTTGCGCCTGGTCGGCATTAAGATGATAATACAATACGCCGTGCAAGTGTCAGCCAAAGGAATAGCCACTCCATTTCTCTAATGGAATGCCGAGGAAGATGCTGGATTTTACTAACCTTCTCGTTTTTGATTTCCTCCAGCTCTAGCACCTCGGCGGATACCTTCTGGGCATGGCGATCTACGCCTGGGCTGAGCAGCACCTCCCAGGTAAGCGTGGGCCGAGGATTGCCACCCTCGCTGACGCAGGCCAAGTTTAGCTCCGAGTTTTCTTTGACGGGCACAAAAATGTTGCCAGCATCCAGGCGACGCGAATCAATAAGCAAATAAGGCGGCTTGGGACGATCTGCAAGAGGAAAATGTCATTAAAATACAATTAAAGTATAATTAATAGTTTAATTCATTGGGTTTGTCGAGGAGACCCATATTATCTCTAACCGGCTTGACAGCTGAAATTGCTATTTTTGCAAATTCTTTCTGATTTACTACCAACAAATCAAAAATGTTTGCTTTAATATTCTTTTAAAATCGATCGATTTATGAATTTTGCAGTTTTATTGGGCTGTGTTTATGTACGCATAGACCCACACTGCGAGCCAACATAAAAAAAATATTGGCAAAGCTGATAGTAATATCGGCTGTTGTTTGTTTAAAGAATTTTTCAAAAAGTAAGAAAATTTAGTTTTTACTTGAGCATCTTCTAGCTTTGATTCTACATTTTATCTTCTATGTAATATTCATAGACTTTTAATAATTTTTAGGTTGTGTTCAACAAAAAGAAGGCGCACAACATTTAACTTTACTGAACATTTAGACAATTATACCAAGTGCCTTATCAATGCGAATCTTCAAAATCTTAGTTAGCTCTTAACTTTTAAAGACACTTAGACCAGACTCACGTGAGCTTATATCTTTGACAAAGTCGAGAACTAGGCGACATTTGGCTAAGCTACCACGCACAAGAGCGTGACACAGTCTTTGTCATTTACAGCTAGCTTAACTTGCGCACAACTGTACCTGCGATTCGGCTAATAGGGAAAGTTTTTTGCTTTTCTCGACTTGGCTCATTGCCTGCTGACTGCTGCTTGCGGCATGCTCCACGTTCTGAGCTAATTTCGCAAATGTAACGACCTTTTTAATATTTGTCTAAACTTTTATATGCGCCAGGTCTTTAGTGGTATTTGTTGCTATTGTTGTCGGCTTTAACTTGTGGTACTCACCCAGGACGACCAGCTTGACGGGTCGAGCATTTTCGGTATAGCGTCGGGTATTCTCCGCCTCGCACTGCCATTTGCCATCATCCTCGAGCATGACATTGGTGATGGTTAGCGCACCATTAGCCTCCTTGATAAAGCGATAGTCGGTAACGCGCGTCGTCCGGTCCATGGCATGCACCTCCTATGGGGCAGACAGAAAACCAGAGTGTGAGTGGTAAGCGTGAGATCAGAGGCAAGTTTTGCGGCATTAAAAGTAATGTCACTTGAGTTGCAGGCACTGACGAAATTATGCAAATGCCTCTTCTTAACTTTATATTGCAGGGCATTAAACGCTCACAAATTTCCTGATCCTATCCTATCCTATTTTATGCTAGGTGATATCTGGTCACCATATAGCACCCATTTACTGCGTGTGTGTAAAACAATTGTATATCCAGCCATTATGTTTTAATACGGCCAGCATTTATTTACACTTTTGCTCAGGCCAGACATTTTATTACAATTCGTTTCAAACAAACGAAAATAATGATAATTTAAATGCGTTTGTGTGGCTCCACACCAAATCCACTGAGCACAGTTACTGTAATGTGGCAACAATGAACTGTGGCTCGGCTTACAAAAATGTGAAAATAAAAATAAACGTAAAATTGTGGCCAATAGTTGTTGCTGGCCAGCTGGCAGGATGGACGCGTTGTCCTGTCGCTGTCTGTTGCTCCTCTGCCCGGCTTAATGCTTACTGAAATTTATGTGCGCATTCAAATGCTGCAGAAAAATATGAAAAATACCATATATATATATTCGTAAATATGGTAAATGCGGTGCGTGCTTAATGGGGGCGTGGCACCCTTGTTTTCAGCAATCGTAAATAATTTTAATTGCATTTGCACGTCAGAGCTTAACTTTCGGCAGCGTATTAAGCTGTCGTAAATACTCATAAGCTGCGCACATAAGATGCACAGTCCCCATATTTAAAGACCCATTTTAACAATCTACAGAATTGTAAAAACTGTTGCCTGTTCTGATAAAGGTTTTTGAATGCAAAATAATTACTATGTCATATTTTATTTTACTTTGCCTACAGTATAAGGGTAAAGAAACATACTTTTTGCTATTGGATTTCTCAATTACGACAGGTAAAACAAACACTGACCTTTTGAAAAAATACTGTTTTGTTTTTTTTTTTTCTTTCAAAGTAAAATTGCTCGATTATTTTGCATTTATTATTTATTTCTTTGTGTTATTTGCCAAAGTGTTTGTACGTTGATTACCTGCCAATAACTAAAAATTTGATTTTAAATTTAATACCATTTTATTTTGCACGAATTTACAGCTGTACAGCTGCAAATCGATTGCAGCTTAGTTAGCAGCTAGTGGGAGTACGAGCATAAAAATAAAAACAACCTACTTAGGTTCTTTATTACAGAATGCCCAATCAGGAAATACTCTGTAAATAACCAATGCCCAACCCAATCCAACCCGTATCCAAAGTTTAAATTGTCTGCGTAACCTATTTTAGTGATTTTTTTATGGCTCAAAGGTTACAGAAATAGCTGAATAATTAAAATTTTGCTGAACATTTTGCCTAACAACTCTTGTATTTTTGTACGTAATATGGGCGGCATTTTGTGAATGTTGCCAAAAACATAAAAATAAATGAATGTAGGAAAATCTGTGTAAAATGTAGTATAAACAAAATATTTGTATTCTGCGCTTCCGTTTCCGTTGCGTGCGAATTTTCAATTTTTGTTAGCCCCACTCAAGCCCTCTACAGCCCGTTTATGATTTTTGTATAAATTTTGGAAAAGCAGCGAAAATATTTATGCCTGCATGGATTTAAGCAATTTTTTCTTGCTAACTTGGCAGCGTGTTTTGTCGTATCTCTGTGTCAGAGAGCCCTTGTGTGTGTGTGTGCGTGTTTGTGTGTTTCTCAACTTCCGTTGAGCATTTGCCGCAGTCGCCGCAGCGGCCATTTCAGAAATTTATTAACCAGCAGCCGACGCTAGACGCAACACATCGCGTCGCGTCGCATCTCTTCGCATCGCAACTGGCAACTGGCAACTGGATTTTCCAACTGTGCAGCGGCGCATTCAGCTGGAAATTTATGAGGTAACATGGCACAGAGATGCCAGTTTTGGCGACTGCACACCTGCAGCTATGTGTGCGTTTTGTGTATGTGTGTCTGCGTGCGCGAGAGATTTTGGTTGGGCAACATGGCCGCTAGACAAAAGCGTTAAATGAGCGTGGCAAATCCTTGTTTACAGCGTCGAGCGGCCAGCGGATTACACGCTCGATTGTTTTGGCCACCCGAACCCAAACCCGAACCCGGATGCCCACAGCCCAGGTCCAGGCCCAGAGCCAAGAGCCAGTTTGCCGGCCATTGTTGGGCGCATTAAATCTCACGCCTGCGACGGCCTCAGAGCGATCTGTTCTCTGGTAATTATGATTTTTCGCCTTTTTGTGTGTGTGTCATTGTTGTTGCTGCTTATATTGTTTTTGTTTTGTTGCTTTTGTTGTTACTGCTATGCAGCTGCGTCAATTCGCATAAATTGTTGCATATTTGAAGGCGCATTTGAGTTTTACATGCGCATAACTTTGCATAATTTGCGGCAATCGTTATCTGGCGAATGCCATTTCTGGCTTTTGGATTCGGGTTTGGGTTTTTAGACCAAAACTATTCGCTTTTTTCATTTTTTTTTTTGGTTTGCTTCGGCAGTGGTATTTTTGGTAGTTATTATGCATTGTGTTCTGTGTTCTCTAATTGCATTGTTTTAATTTTTGGCTATTTGCAATTTACATTTAATTCTGCCGTGAGAGGCTCGGATTCGCACATTTCGCATGCGTATTTATTTCCTAATATTTATAGCATTGTGTAATAATGCAAATTTCTGTTTAGCTAGTTATATGATTTAATTATTTTGAGAGCCCTTGCCAAATATATATTTAACAATACAAGTTGTGTTCGTTAAAATTGTAAATGGGTGTTCGTGTGCGTGAAATAATATTTGTTGGAAATTACGTGCATAGTTTTTCGCATGACTTGTCACAATATTTCAACATTTACATCAAAGTTTTTATGCTTGGTTCGCAAAGGGAATATCTGTTCTATATACAGGGTATGTCGATTGTGTGTTACTTTTAAAATTATATAAAAACTTCGGTTTAATCGCATCGGTTATATTTTATTGGTCTTATTTTTTTATAGATTCTTCAAATAGACTTTAAAGTTGAGTTAGTTTGTTGATCTTTATAAAAGAATGAACCTTCGATTAAGGCTACGTTGTTTAATAATCGGAATTTAGTGGAGATCAATCAAAGTCTTCTAAGAGTTAAAAAAAAATGGTGGATAATTAATCTTAAATATTTTCTAAATTGCCCTAATTAGTTAAGTGCAACATTCCCAGTTTCGAGCCAGTTGAGTTGCACCCAATTTTCTTCCTTGAACAAACTGCGGCACAGAGTAAAAGTAGAGTGCCTCTAAAAATGGCTACTTATATGTAACTTTCACCCCCGCCCTCTCTGTCCCTGTGCCACTCTTGCTTGGAATTGCAAAAATCTTGTCAGCAAACATTACTCGCTGCCTGTCGCTGCTCGTTGTGCTCGTTTTTTTCTACTGCTGGCCCTGTCGCTGATGTTGGCCCAAAGCTACTAACTTGAAATTGCTTTCGGCAAATATATTAGCCTCTTGATAATTTTCAACAATAAATTCTTCGGTACACACGCACATGCTGAGGAGCGAGGGGCACTGGCAGTTTGGCAGCCACTCAAAGTAGCTGAGGCTAGCTGCATGGCTGCATGGGGACTCGAATGCATTGTGCAGCGCTCTAGAAAGTACAACAAAAGTCGCTCATGTTGCAAGCTGTCAGTGCAACACTTGTCGCATGTCATTGCCGCAGTTGCAGTTGCAATGAGCACGACTGGAGATGTGCGGGTGGTTGGGCCGCCTTTTGAGTCATTGTGTTTGTTCCAGACTTTGCTGAAGACAGCGCACAAGACGAAAGTCAGCGAACAGCAGCTAAAATGCAATTGCAAATGTTGTTTCCAACATGAGCACGGGGTGTGATGAGGCGAACGGGTGTCGGCGATAATGATAAAATATGTTTGTTAAGCCCAGAGTAGTAAAAGTCAATGTGTAAAAATTCGAATGCTCTACACCTAGCAAATATATATGCTTAAGAAAATGGCGATCGATAGCATTCGTATTGACAACCATCGATAATCGATCGAATGCATCTGCCAAAAGTAAGTGTATTACAATGCGTTTCAAAAAATAATATGAACTGAGCATGCTTATTGGCGTTTATATAATTCATTAGTCACGTAACATTTAAGTCAGTTTTAAACAAACAAACTTCACATTTCAGATTCATGTATATTGACGACTATCGCGTACCAAAATTATCTTTATGACAAAATTTTCTATTGGCTTTATAATGGATAATTTCATGGGTAAATAGCTTTATAAAGTAACTTATTCAAGGGTTGTCAGATCTTAATCACGAATCGGGATCCCAAATTTCTTGTTCATATTTAAAATAATCATTATCTTTTGCTGTTGCAGCCTCGAAAAGAGCATTTTAATTGTGGTGCTCCAGCTGATGCTTGTTCCCAGCCTGCAGCTGTGCCTCGCCTAGCTCACATTGTTGCCGCATCATTGTTGTAATTGCAGCCGCCGTGGTTCAATTCCCCTTTTCCATCCCCGCCTTAATCTGCTGTGCATGTGCTCCGTTCATGTCTTCGCTTTCACATGGCTGGCTTTTGTTTTAACACAACTAATACAATTGCACCGTGGGGAAATGCTGCCTCCATCTCTGCCTCTGCCGCTGCTGTTATCTCTGCTGCAGCTGCAACGTCAGCGGCGTTGATTTTATTTGCCAGCGACTGGCACGGAGCTGAGACATTCCCTGCCAGAGCCGACATTGTTACTAACTTAATAAAATTGTCAAAGGTACAAAGTAAGCGGCGCGTTAGCAACTTTCCACGCCCTTTTGCACGACCAGAGGAAGAACTGACAGCGCATTGTTGCTGATTTTCATTTGGGGACTTGCCGCCTTCAGTCTGAGTGATTAATTTCTTGGCTTGATGTGATTTGCAGCTGCCGCTGCAGCACTGAGGACCACCAAGCGGACCGCTCTATTAATGTCATGCATTAAGTTTTGCCCTGTGTCTCCTAATTGACTAATGGAGGCTTAGCGCGGCTTTTGACAGGGGAACCCTTTGAGATTTATGTGGCCCTTGCGGCTGGCGGTCCACATAAAAAGTAGAAGCTCCGGTTCCCGGTCCCAGACAAAGTCTGTTGACCTTAAACCTGAGCCATGACAACAGCAACAAACGATGGGGCCATAAATAAGTTGCAGCCTGCCAAGCGCAACAAAGTATGCAACAATGGCCAACAACCAAAGACGCAACCATAAAAAAGATGCATCCTTTTTTGCTCGCTACAATATACCCGGAAAAGTAAGGGCATTGCAGGCAATATACCACTGATCAAATAAGATGGAAATCGATTCTTAGATGTACATCTTTTGAATTGTTAAGTTCTGAATAATGTATGGACTTTTGGAAGTTATAAGTTATAAGTATCTGCTTTTTATAAATGATTTTGATGTGGTGTTATTTCTTTAATATTTTGCAAAATATTTTTAAACCTGATCGTAAACTATAAATCTAACGTGCAATATATTGACATTGTTTAATCTTTATAAAAAAGCATACGACCAACAAAAAGCCACATGTTTTTAATAACTAAGCTTAAACATGAAAATGAAACTGAAGTTATTTTTCTGTTGAAGACATTTGCGCTTAGTTAGGGTATCTCAGAGTGCATCAACCTTCCTCTAAGTAGATGCCATGCGCTGCTTTCGCATACTTAGAGGAAACTTAAAACCGCAAGCTTTATGTCTGGCAATTGTCGCCTTTGAACATATTGCACAATAAAATCCAACAAATTGTTAGTAGACAAAACCTTAGACTCAGCCTGGCGCTAAAGGCCGAATTGAGAACTGCAGATGGGCGTGGCAGTTGGTAATCTGCAACAAATGCTGCACAGCGTGTGGTGAACATCTATTGCAACAAATTTGAACGGCATCTAAAACCAAACGCAATCGATAGATGCGAAATGTCGCCAAGATTGCAAAGTCGTCTGATTTTTTGATAGCACAAACAAGTGCAGCAATCAGACGGCAGGCAACAGGGCAGCGGAGGAGACGTGTCTGCCAGATTTGGGGTTCGAAATACGCCAAATGGCAGCTGTTGACAGCCAATTTGGTGGATTTTTTCCAGTGCGATGGCATTTCTTAGCTTACGCGTCTCGACAGCGCGCAATATTGAATTTAATTTTCGTATAGAATAAACAGCGGCAGCCAACAGCAACAACAGCAACAAGGAACGACAAGAACAACTGTTAGTCAACACTGGCAGCAACAATGTTTGCATGCAACGCCCAACAGTGTGCAACGCTTTTTGCTGAAACCAACGCACCGACCGAACACACACACACACATACAGAGACACACGCATGCAGACACTTACACCTGGGCCAGGTGCTAGGTTTGGAGCGTCAGTTAACTGCCAAGCCAAGCCGCAGACCAACAACCGAGGCACGTACACAAAGTGTTGCTGTTATTGCCACTGTTGCAGTTGTTGTTACTGCTGCTGCTGCTGTTGCTGTTGTTGTTGTTGTTGCTGTTGTTGTGTTAGTTTCAACTATTATTTGCCCATCAACAACTTGGCCTGCCCACTCGTTGCTGTTGCAATTTACACTACACAGGAGCAGCACTTGCAACAAAAACAAGAGCAACAATAATTGCAGCCACAACAACAACACAAACAACTGAAACAACGGCAACTGTAAAATAAACAAGAACTGCAAAGTAAGTACAACGAGTCGAGTACCGCACAGATGTTTAGTTGTTGATGTAGAGCTCGATTCCAGTTAAAGTTCAGTTTAATGACTTTCTGATGAAGTTTCTGCGGCAAAAATTATATTGCATAGAGTACACAATAATAATAATACTTCAAAGTGAGTTCAAATTAATACGACTTTTATTTTATAAGTGTTAATTAAGAAATCAAAGTTGCAATATGCAATACGAACCTTTGGTTATCTCAGAGAATTTCAAATATAAATTGCTTAAAAATCAAACCGAAACATATGTTGCGAATTCTTGAAAATTCTTCTACGTTTTACACTCTAATGTGATATTTTTGATAAATGCACTTTTAATGCTCCACTATTAAGCAACGATATGTTCCCAACAAAATCCATCAAAAAACGCTTTTAATATAATTTGGAAATCGTTTGCGATAAATCCTTTGACTCTACAGCTTACATCTGGAATACATTTTTTCATAACACTCAGTTTTTAATCACATTCGTGGAGTTTTATAAATTTCAACCGTATGCGAACTATCATCCGCAGTTCGGTTGGGCTGGCTCAAAAAACTCTCAACTGTGCCCGGCGGCGGCCAAAGCGGTTATAATTGCATTACGCCGAAAGGTAGACTACGTTTTTTGCATCGCCTCGTCGACTGTTTGCACTTGCAATTACAACTCAATAACTTTTGCAGGCTGCTTGTTAACTTTTGCGCCATGTTTGTTAATTTTGTTGCCAGCTTTTGGCTTTTTGACGCTGCTGCTGCTCCTGCTGCTTCTGCTGCCAGCTGCCAGTTGGGCAATTTTTTGTACGCGCTTTTATTTTCAATTTAACTCGTTAGTTAAAGCGCAAGCATCATCCCAAAAAAGTGTGCAGCAGTAATTTGCATTTGTATAATATTTCGCTGCAACTCGTGGGTGTTGCCATACAGCGCAAAGTTGTAATTAGAAGTCGGACACGACGCACAAAAAGCATAAGCGCCCCGCTAAGCTGCGACCTGACCTGGCCTCTGGGGGCGAGGGTGGGCGGTCCTCTGACAAATGAACTCTTAAAATGCTTTTGACATCAGAAACTATCAAATAATAACGATTATCCTATTTGCATAATACGGCATTTATACGACAAATAACCAAGGAGCACAAAAGCCAGACGCAGAATTGAAATGAGACTAGCAGAGAGACAACGTAAGAGAGAGAGAGAGAGGGCGAACTGGCACTCGAGACGTCTGACAGGAAGATAGAAGACAACGTCCGAAGGCAGAGAGAGGCCAGCAGGACAAAGGATAAACGCAGTGCAGGCGACAATAAAAAGCAACTAAGAATGATACTGCTTAACTTCTATGTGAAGACCAAGAAATACCCTGCTGTTGGTTAAAAAATAATATTTTTAAAGACTATATTAACAACTCGATTTGATTTATAATTAAGCGGAAATCATGTAATATAAAAAATGTTAAGCTTCGCCTTTATTGATCCATTTGCTTGCTTTTTTTTCTTTCTCTTTTTTTTTTAAATTAGTGAAAATAAAATTATATGAAATATTTAGTATTAATTCTCAATCGCAAATTTTACATTCAAAAAGTTGATTTTCTTAAAAACAAGAGGAATTATTATATCAAAGTAATAATACATTTTTAATTTGCCTTCCAAAATAACTTTTTATATTCTCGTTTCCAAAATTCTTTTAAAGTTATGTTTGCATCTATTCAGACCCAAGCAAAGCTTTTTTTTGTGTTCTTTAACGAAAGCCCCCTCCCTCAATGGCAGTAAATACCCCACAGATTCTGGAAAGAGTGGGCACAAATATTAAAATGCGAAAACTACGAGAGAGCTTAAGGGACCAACAGGAAGTGCTGGTTGCTAACGGGCCGCACAAGAATGCAATTAAAGTCAAAAGCTGCAAACAAGTTGGCAGCTCCGACAGCTGAAGTTAGAGAGTGGTTGACATGGAGATAAAGTAAAGTACCAATTGTTGTCACTTACCTGGCCATTTTTGTACCACATGCTGGAGGATATGTCCAGGTCCACCTCGCACATCAGCCTGATCTCTGAGTGCTGTTCCGCATAGACCACAGACATTTCCTCGTCCTCGTAGGGATTGGGCAGCACTGGGCGCAGAGGCAGCGCCCGCGGACCCTCAAGCGGTCCATCATCATCCATTAGATCCGCCACATCGCGACTCTTAGCGAAGAGATCTCGTGTGGCGGTGCCGCTATCAAACTCCTCCACATCATCGATAATAATGACGGGCTCCTTGGGCTTAGGCTTCATATCCTCCGGCGCCAGATGCACCGTAGAGCGTGCGCGTTTCGCCTTCATGGTGGTCAACAGTCCAGCGAGCGTTTTATTTGCATAGCTCGTGACTGCGGCACTGGTGGCCACCGTGGTGGCACTGGACATTGCCGTAGGCAGTTCTAGGTCCTCTTCCTCTGTCTCCCGACGCAGTCGTCGCGCAGCCTCCTTGTGTGTCGCTGCGCGATGCGCCTGATGCACATGGTGGCTCCTCAGCTGCGCCTTCCATTTGGCCACCTTTGCCTTGGCCTTGGCACAGTTCTTGGCACATTTGGAGGGTTTACTATTGTGAATGCCCACCTGCCGGTGGTCAACTGCCAGCTGCGGCAATGTCTGTGTATTCGCTTCGAGTTCGACTAAACTCTGCGCCGACGGTGCTGCCGCCGGCGGCGTCTGCTCTGATATGCTGCGCCATTTGCTTGCTGCGTGCTCGGCGGGCGTCGTCTTCAATTGTGACTTTGCATTGATATTTTGTTGCTCTGTGTAGGTGGTGCCTGGAAGAAGAAGAAAGAGGAAGGTTATATCAACTTGTTATTTAATTAAATGTTATTGCTTTAGGTACAGGATAATGTGACACGCTAAAAGCCCAACCTTTTCATAAGCACTGGCTTTTCATGTGCCAATTCAACATTTTTTGTCAGCTTTTTAATCCATTATTTTTGTCTTTTCAGATCTTTTCAAATTGCCACTAAATGTGACAATATTGTATTATTATGGTTAAATATATGTAGTTCAGATCAGGAGTTTGTTAATATTTACTCCAGAATTTTTATTATTATTTTATAGTTTGAACTGTCTCCATCTCGGGGCTGCTTCCACTTTATAATTAATATTATATTAAGCAACCACAAATAAGAAGTTGCGCTCTTGCATGTTCTAGTAATAAATACGAAACACTATGCAATGTCAGACCAATTGCCGAGTGGGAAACCAATTAGTTAAGGGCCCCCGAAAGTCCAGTTGAAGCCCCAAAAATCTGCCTATAAACTATCAATATGCTCCGTCGAGTAACTGCCAAGCATTAAACCAAATGTGGACGCACGAACAATTTAATTTACCAGCCTGCCTGCTGGCTCGCCACAAGGCTGGGACAATGCCCCAAGGGAGTTCACCCAAAATACCTGACCAGAAGTGATGTAAAAATGGCAGAGGCATCATTTAAAAATACTTTGGGAATGGGAGTATCAATTACATTTCATTGTAACGTGTAAATATCACATAGCACATGCGCTTACAAGGCTCATGCATTTATTTATGACATTTTACAGTGGGCCCCAATAATGTGTGTACCCAGCTGCAGCTATATTTGGGCTGGTGAGATTGAGAATCCCGACCAGAGGAACGAAATGTGTTTTTGTATGCATGCAAATCCTTTGCTAATCCTTTGCCATGCAAAGCAATTTTCAGGCCTAACTTTTGTTAGGTTGCCAGCCTCCTCAATGTTGTAGTGCCCCCTGCTCTCACAGACTCATTGACTGTTCCCAGTTTGGCAACTCCGGTTATTGTCTGCTGCTACTGCAGCTTCTGCTGTTGTTGATAAATTTACACAAGCTTTCAAATGGTAATTAATATTCATCTGAGACGGGGGCCATCAAAAGACAACGCACTCAGTCTCTCGATCCCAGTCCCTGTTTCAGACTCGGTGCATGTCGCCTTCTTTGTCTGTCCTGTTTGTATATCTCGCACACAAACATACATACACACTCTCAAATACGCACACACGCTGTGGAGTTAACTGAAGTCGGCAACTAGGCGCATTGCCAGCCAGTGTGGTTAACTGACAAAAGCAGTGGCAACTCCTGCTGTTGCAACCGTATTCTATGTTTTGGGCCCCACGTCCATTTTCATTGTCTTTTGTCTCGGCCCTTTTCTGGTTTGGGGGCGGTGTTGCCATTCTTTTTACGGCGAGGTGTACGGGGCATGGGCATGGCTGTTCCTGTTGCTGTCGGTGTTTGTAGCTAAATTAAAGTTGTCATTTTTCAAGTGAACGCACAAAAGTATGCAATGCGCCTAATAAATTTACACTCTGCAACCCTGGCAGCCCTGGCAAAGGGCTTTCTAGAGTATCCTGGCTAAGGCACTCATAGGCATAACTTTACAGCTCTGCCAAGTCATTTGCACAGCAGGAGGCAGGCGAATGTGTGCGTGTGTGTGCATGTAGGTGTTTGCAACGACTTACACACACGCACACGCGCACAAGCACACCCACGAATAGCTATCCTACTCTGAGGACAGGCAGCGATAAAATGTTTTCACAGCAGCTTAAAAGTCTGCAACACTTTTTGCATAGGCAGCCAGCCAAGTAGTGGGCGTGCCTGTGTGCGTGCGTGTGTGTGCGTGTGTCCATGTGTGTTTGTCTTGTTTGTTTACATGCAACTGTAGTTGTTTGTGCTGTAACTTAAGTTGTAAATGAAGATTGCGCCGGAAATTGCACAAAACTGACAGCGTCTTCGCTGTGCGCACTCCCCACTCTATTCCTCAAGCCGCCTGCTGTCCTTAGCCTGCTCCTCTTAACTTTCCCCGCCAAAGCTCTTCATGTGCGTGTAAATTTAATGAAGCTGCCACCCATACGAGCGAGCTGCGTTGCTAAAGAACAGTGGGCGCGGCTCATGCTCATGCATTTTGGGGCGTTGCAAATTTCTCTGGCATACACGAAATATGTTGCATACGTTACGGCGCATAAATTGCGTGTGGCGTTCCATATAACTGCTGCCCCCAATCTCCTCCACTGCACACCCCCTATGTTGTTTGGCAGTTAATAAAATTGTTAGTGCTGAGGCTAAACTTGTTGGCAGCGTGTTGCTCATTAGGCGGCTGAACTTGTGGCAGCCACAAAACTCTGCGAAGCAAGTTGATTGGATAGGTAAAACCCACATATTGAAGCATATTGGGGGAGAGTTGAGTAGTCAGGTTATCTTTGAACATTTAATAACAACCCAGAATTATATATATAATGTATATTTCTTGATATATGTATTCAATATATTATATATAATACAGATTTGTTGTTCTTTACGTTGTTAGACTGCAAGAGGCTTAGGTGTGGCTCATTCTAGAGCATAGCATAACTTTTGGCTGGCATACTAGAAAAGGTTACATAGCAAACACATAAACGATTTCAAGTTTGCTGTTTTTCTTGGGATAAATAATGTCTTTAAATAGCTGATCACTTAGTTATTCATGGACCTACTACACGTATTCTTTTAGCCTTAGATGCTTTTTGTCAATTGGTCTTCTAATATATTGACCCAATTTCTGTGAGTCTCTTATTAAATTTTTCAAATAGTTGAATTTTTAATTTTTCGATTATGAAATTTTTTTAACAACATTTTGAATCAATCCACTTCTGCAATTTTCGCAAGAATATTTGCAAAAGTTTGGTTGCACAGCATTTCATAGGGGTCCTCACTAAATGACAATTATGGCCAGTCAACAGTTTTTATTTGTTATTTAATATTTTTTATGCATGTACTCCTTTTTTCGTGTCGAGCTTGTGCGAACTCTATCAATATGCAAAATGGCGATTGCATTTTCATAAACTGACAAAGGGCGTGCGGACGCGTGCCTAGGGGCGTGCCTGGGCAATCAAGCGCTGACATAATTACATGCTCGTATTCGAATGTCAGCCTGATTACAGGTTCGCCAATAAATTGGCCAGGGTGGGGGCGTGGTGCACATTTAACAAGCAAATTTCATTGATTTTTTCCACCGCGCTGAGCTGTTTTTTTTATTTATATTTTTTTGTCCTGGGAAACATGTAAGCGACAAGCAGTCGAGTTGCATTTTCATGTTTTTTGTTTATCCCTTTTGCATTGCGTTTAAAATGGCGCTCTGCCAGTGTTGCCTACACACTTCAACTGTTTTTTAATTATGTCAACAATAATTTAATGCACTCGTATGCTGCATGTTTGTGTGCGTGTGCACGGATCTGCTTGTATTGCCAATAATAATATTATTTTATGTAAATGCCGTGCACTCTAATAAAAAGAGAATGTCGAGCCGCAAAAAGTGCTACGTCCTTATCAGTGCAAATATGTGAGACACAAAAACTGAGTATATAAAAAATGCAAATCAGGTTCATGCATATTCAATACATACATATACATATACAATTATTTTTTGAAATATCAGCTATGGGCTTTGCAAAATATTCCCATATATAGATACATGTGAAGTACATATTCTTTTGTGTTGGAATATTATCGAAAAATCGATGTGCATTCTTTTAAAATATGAAGTTAAGGTTTAAGAATTAAATATTTTTAATTTTAAACGTGACACAGCTACTTTTCCAAAAATCCACATTTTTTTTGTATCTATACTTGTTGTTTACTATCGCCTTCCAATCTCTAACCATTCTTAAGCATCTATATTAAAATATCAAATAATTTTATAAAATTGAAGTCAATTATATTGCTCCTGAAAGTTAACTGTTTTTATTGAACTTATTTTTAATATATATATTATATATATAAATATATATAACTTATTAAAGATTGTGCTCAATCCTGATATATTTTTACCAATGTTCACCCATTTTTTTTCTTCTCCCAGTTTTGTTCAGGAAACTTAGGTGCTCAATTAATTAACGTAATGAAGTCTTGCATTCATCCCTTAACACTCTTCGCTCGAAGTGTTCTTTTAGCATCTCCTACTCTATTGCATATGCATACAAAATCAGAGCTCAACCAGTAAACAACAATTCACAGGGTAGTCAATATTCTGGGCAGCGCACTGCCTCCATCGTCATTAAGGAGACTTCAATTGCAGCCCGATGCATGCAACGCTCCATCGTATGCAACATACAGTATGCAACTCTTCTGGTTGCCATACATGTGCAGAGCGTTGTGCACTGAGCGTTGATTAGGTTAATGTCCTTAAGGCATAATACCAGCTGGCTTTTCACTTTGCTCCCTTCAGAGACGGCAGTCAAAGGCAGCACTTTAAACTGCCACGCCCCGCCTTGCCTCGCTTCGGCCCGTCCCCACTGACGGCTGGTGTTGTGGCCTCTGTCTTCACGGTGCTCGCATGTGTAATGCATTTGCTGCAACTGCAGCCCCTGCAGTGGCAGTTGCACCTGGACGAAGCTCCTGCTACTGCCAGTTTCTGGCGTGCATTGTTTAAGTTTCATGACGTCGACAACTTTGGCAACCGCCACTTAATGCAAGCGAAGACAGGCGTGGGTTGGGGAAGGGCGTGGCTGTGTCTGTGTCTGTGCCTGCACTTTGCCTCGGCATGCCGTGCGGCTTTTGTGGCAATGGCTGTGTGGCAAACCAGCAAATACTTAACAACAACAGCAACAAGAACAACAAGAACTGAGCGAACACCAGTTGTGCGCGTTTTGGCATTTTTGGCAGCGCCCTACCCATGCGCTCCGCCCCTCTGCTGCTCATTTGCTATTTAAACTAAAAGCCTTTTAATCGATTCTAAATGGGCTGCAAAATTATTGTGTTAATTTGCATTCGGCATTCGGCTCAAGCCGTGTAAACATTGC